CCCGCCAGTTCAGCAGCCTTGCCCCGCTGCCTGTGCTGACGTCAGCGCACTCATGCTTGCCCCTTGCGCTGGACTCCAAATCCCTCCCCCATCCAACCAGCGCCCCGCCCCCGTACACGCAGCCCTCGCGCCCCAGATCGCGCGACCACCGACAGCACAGATCGCGCCAGATCACCCACCCGCTCCTCCGTCAGATCGTCCGCGTCCGCCTCCGCCTCCGCCGCCTCTTCCAGTTCGTCCTCCGCCTCGTGCAGCGCCTTCTCATCCTCCTCCTCCTTCTTGACAGCTGCAGCCTCCTCCTCGGCAGCCGCGTCCCCCGCTGCGTCCTTGCCTGCCGTCACCTCCTTGCCTGCCGCCGCCGCCGCTGCGGGCTCCGCCGCCGCTGCATCCTTGGCCCCGGGCTCGCCCTGCTTCTCCGCCGCCCCCGCCGCCGCAGGGACCGCGTCCTTTGCGCCGCCGCTGCCGCCGCCCTGCTTGCTGTCTGGAGAGGCTGCCGGGCTTGCCTGCTGCTCCTTTGGCTTTGCAGAAGGCGCAGGCGACAACGCGGGCGTGGGCGCGGCCGTGGGCGCCTCTTGTGGCGCAGCTTTGGGCTCGACCTGAGGTGGCGCCGGCGCGGGCGCGGGAGCAGCGTCGTCGCCGCCGCCGCTGCTGGTGGTGCTGCTGCCGCCGCCGCTGATCTTGACCGACGCGGGCCCGCTGTACTCATCGGCAGTGTCCGTGCCCCACTCTGCTGGGCGGGAACGCATGGCAATGGCAATGCGGGCTTATCAGGGCAGGCGGAACAAACAGCCGGGGAAATGACGTCCTGCCAGGCGCAGCAGGCCACGGCGTCGCCACCGCGCACGTGTCAGCACCTTGCAGCCAACAATTCCATGGATTGTGAGACGCCTTACACCCAGCCGTCGAGGCAGCAGCCCCCCCCCAGGCGCGGGTGACGCCTCACCCGCGCGCCCCGCCCGCGCCGCGTGGCGGCTGCCTGTCACGAGCGCCGCCGCCATGACTAGCACGAGCAGGATGCCGCCGCCGACGCACACGGCTCGCTTCAGCGTGAACAGCTTCTTCTGGGACTCGGCCTCCTTCACGCGCGCCTGGGGTGTGGGAATGCACCCGCGGACACACGCAAGTGAGGGACGTGGACATCACTGCAGCAACGGCTGCGAACGCCGCCCCCGCATCGTATCAGGGGGAGGACGGATGAGAGCAAGCAGCCGCAGCAGGCACCGCCCGTGCGATCAGTTCAAGGGAGGGACAGAGGCGTGCAGCAGCACCGTGATGTCGCCAACCGCGGGCCGCCGACCAGGCAGACCGCGCAGCGCCGCGGCGGACTCTAGCAGGCGCCCGCCGGTGCGCGGGCGCGGCCAGCGGCGGGCGCACCTCCACGCGGAGTGCACCCATCAGGGACTGGTGAGGGTTGTCGGCCTCAGGGTCGTCTGCGATCCAAGGATCAAATTGATGCAGGCGGTGTATCTTGTGCGGCCCGGAACAGAGCCGCAGCTGGCAGACGGGCGGCAAGTGCCGGAGCGGTCTTGCGGGCCTGGGCTCGACAGCTGGCCGCGGCGCTAGCGTTGCTCACGCGGATGTGCCGGGGGATTTGGCAGGGTCCAAAGGGCGCGCAGCGTGGGGTGGGGCAGCGGGGGCAGGGCTGCACCGCGCCTGCTGGGGAGCGCTGGGCAACGCACCATCGTACGTGGCGTATCCCTTGTTCTTCAGCTCCCGTTCTATGAAAGAGCTCAGCTCCGAAGCCATCCTGGAACGAGCCGCACGCCGGTTGCGCCCCTCCCCTGGCCGCTGGTGGCGCGTTAACGCAGCGCGCGATGCTGCTTGTCAACAGCTCTGCTCTATGCGCCGCGCGCTCAGCCTCCTGATGCAATCACCGTGCTGCAAGCCACGCTGAATTTGAAACCTGCAGCTTACACGCAGCGGAACAGTCTAGAGAGCAGAGCGAGAGGGCTGGGCTCTGTGAACTTTAGCTGGATGGATCGGATGTCTGTGCCGTGGAGTCAGCAAGCAATAACGCTACATGTATACACGTGACATAAGACAGCTACGGTAGGCTGCCTGAAAGAAGCGGCTGCAGCGGTGGTCTGAAGCATCGACCTGAAGAAGCCGTGTGTCTTCCAGCCTCGCTTACGTCTTCATGTATGCGCAAGGGTAAGATGATACGACCAGGTTTACGAGAAGCATTTCAGCTCCCCGGCTGCGCCACAGCAGGGCGCTGGGGTATGGCAAGTGATCAGGTGAGGTGGGGTGGGCGGTACGCGGCGGTTTACGGCGGGTGGGCCGGCCCGGCCTAGCGTCGCGCGCCGCCGCTGCCTCATCCCCCGCGAATGGCACTAAATCATACAGACGTGCATGGCACACGGCAGTCCGTGGTGGTCGGCCTCAATGGTGAGCGGCGGGGCGCACCCCTGCAGTGCACGGGCACTTGCCGAGTGTGAAACCGCCACGCAGCATCAGCGCACCGCGTGATGCAGACCATCAAGGGCAGAGATCAGCAAAAGCCGTCCCCAAAATCATGCGGCTCTGCAAGGATTCGACCCGCATATCAGATCACAGCTCCCCAGCCAGGGGCACCCCTAGGGGCAGGTCTTGGTATGCCAGGCACAGCATCAGCTTCACCACGGCACACCTGCGCACGCGGCGGGCCGGCGAGCTAGACTTAGTGTCGACAGCTTCTCGCGTTCCCCCGCTCCCCAAGCCGCGCCGCGCCCGCCACACTCAGGGGTGGCATCCCCCGTGCCCGTGCCCCCCCCCCCC